AATTAACTCTGATCACTCCCCAATTTTGTTCAATACCAACCTTGATCCCACTATGGTGAAAAAGCAGTTTCACTTCTTACCCATGTGGGTCCATCGCAAGGACTGTGATAAATTGGTAGCAGAAAATTGGAATATCTCAATTGTTGGCTCTAGAGCTCACTCAATTGCAACCAGACTAAAATCTCTAAAGAACCATCTCAAAGCTTGGAACAAGAGCACCTATGGCAATATAAATAATAATTTAGTTGAGTTGGAGAAAGAAATCCTTCTAGCTCAATCTGATCTAGATGAAAACAACAAATTAGCAGATTTAGAAGCCCAATATAACAATGGGCTCCTTGTTGAGAAGCAATTATGGAGACTAAAATCCAAAGAACTATGGCTCTCAGAGGGTGACAGAAACACCAAATTTTTCCATCATCAAACAAAATTTAGAAGGAGATGGTCATCAATTGAGTGTCTAAAAGAAAACCAAGACAACTGGACCATTGATCCCCATGTCATAGCAAATCTTCTCAAAAACAAGTTCTTAAACAACTTAAATCTAGAAGAAGATTTTGATCCTACTCTCCTGGATGGGCTGCAATTCAACCAAATTTCTCCTGAAGAGAGTTAATACCTTTTAACCCCCCCCCCCTCAAAAGGAAGAAGTTCAATAAGCTCTATTCCAAATGCTCCTTACAAAGCTCCAAGTCCTAATGGCTTCACTGCTTTCTTTTTCCAGCACTACTGGAACCTAGTGGGAGATGACATCACCTCAATGATTCAGAGTTTTTTCAGTTCTAAAAAACTGCTTAAATAGTTGAATCACCCCAACCTTGTCTTTATTCCAAAAAAGAGGGGTGTAGAAAAAGTAGAGCACTTTAGGCCCATCAGTCTAAGCAATGTCCTATACAAAATCTTAGCCAAAGTCTTGGCCAATAGAATGAAACCTTTGCTTCCAACCTTAGTCCAACAAAATCAAGCAGCCTTTATCAAAGGCAGAAGCATCACAAACAACATCATCTTAGCTAAAGAAATCACTCACAAGCTAAGAACCCAAAGAGGAAAAGGAAAATGGGCAGCTCTGAAAATTGATATAGCCAAAGCTTTTGATAGAATGGGATGAAGGTTTTTCATGGAAACTATGAAAAAATTGGGCTTCCCAATTAGTTGGTGTTAGCTAATTTGGCAATGTATTTCTACTCCATCTTTCTTAATAAAGCTCAATGGGTCATCTTATGACTTATTTACTACCAAAAGAGGTTTGAGGCAAGGGGACCCCCTCTCACCCTACCTCTTCATTATTGGTATGCAAACTTTCTCAGCTTTGTTGTACAGAGAAGAAAGCTTGTCAAAACTCCAAGGAATCAAGCTTGCAAGAGATTCAGATCCCATCACTCATCTATTATTTGCAGATGACTATTTGATATTTTGTAAAGCATATCCAGAAACTTTCCTCCACATCAAAGCCACTCTCAGGCTATTTGAACAAGTCTCAAGGCAGCACATAAATTTTGCAAAATCTGGAGTCATATTTAGAAAAAACGCGCACAAAATACATAAAAAACTGTTGAACAGAACAATAAGAATGAAAATCATAAGTTACAATACCTAGGGACTTGGATAGCAGAAGGGCAAGGGGGGAAGAGGAACACCCAAGAACATCTTGCTGAAAGCATCTCTCACAAGATAGAACTCTGGCAAGCAAAAACTCTTTCCCAAGCTGATCGTACCACTCTCATTAAAGCAGTTACCCAAAGTATCCCTCTGTACATCATGCAGACATGCTACTTTTCTGTGGGTCTATGCAAGAAAATGGATAGACTGCAAAATAACTTCTAGTGATCAGGTAGATCCAACATTGTTGTAAATTGCAACTTAAAATGGAGTACTATTTGTTCACCCAAAGCCCTTGGAGGTCTAGGGATAAGCAAATTCTCCTTTATGAACAAAACTCTACTTTTGAACTCAGTCTAGAGACTAATAAATCATAGGAATAGCCTTTGAGCCAAACAACTAGAGCAAAGTATGTAAAAGGGAAATGTTTTCTTGACTTGAAGGCAAAAGCCTTAGATTCGGGGTGGTGGAAAAGCATCATCAAACTAAAAAATGAGCTGAAAACTCACTTTTTCTGGAAACTTGGAGATGGGAAATCAATCTCAGCCCTTCTAGACCCCTGGGTTCCTCAACTAGAAAATAATATCCCAATAAGAAGAGCTGGGAGTACAGAACCCACTCATTTGAAGGTCTATGATTTAATCACATAAAACATAACCCGAGATGCCGATTACCTCTATTGGTTGTTTGATGATAGAAGTGTGGAAGCAATTCTCAACATCCCCCTAAGGTATTCACAACAACCTGATAGTCTTCTTTGGAAAAACTCAAAGAATGGGGAATTCTCAGTGAATTCAGCCTATCATTCTCTTATAACAACCACAATTCAAACATAGACAAATATAGTGAGATGGTCTAGAATTTGAATGATTCCATGCTCCTATAGGTGTCAAATTTTTGTGGAAATTCTTACATAAAGCAATTCGAACAAAGACAGTTGTCTAGATCTGTAGAAGGAGAGAAGACATTTGGTGCACTTTTTGCAAATCACACCCAGAGACCCAAAAACACCTTTTTCTAGAATGCCCTCTTTCTAGGGTTGTCTGCATGCAAGCCCAAGTTGGGCTCATGCCGGAGGCTTTTCTAAACTCAGGACAGGAAGATCTGATGGAATGGCGGTGGCAATATAATAGCCATATAAAGAATAAAGCCTTAAAGTACACTTATCTTGCAAAAATTTTTGCAATTCTCAAAAGCATATGGGATGCGAGAAATTATCACATTTTTAATAATGGGAAACCAGATCCACTACTGATCCTACGCAAGGCTGGTAACTACTGCACTTCTAGAGTCATTGAGCCACAAAAATCATATTGTTCTCAATTGAATACAGAATGGAATCTACAAGAGGTTCTACACATAGCTCTTCTAATCATCTTAGTGGATGGATCATGGAGCACTATCACACACAGTGCATCTATTGGACTCTTTATGTTCTCACATGGATCTCATCTTCTCATTGCAGAAGGACAACCTTGCATGGCAAGATCATCATCAGCAGCTAAGCTCTGGGCAATAATAAGAGGCTTATGTAAATTTTTTTGTATGGGCTACAAAGAAGATTTTTGGCTATCGGATGCTAAGGAAATTCTTTTGAACCTATGAGGAACTGATAAAAACATCACTTTGAAACTTCAAGCACTTTATGGCCATATATTTGAATTATTGTTACTTTTTGAAAATGTAAAGTTACTCTATGTAAACAGGGAGTTAGTTAAGCCAACTCATGAGCTTGCTAAAAGAGTTAGGCTTAAAAACATTTTTGTTAATAGAACCAATCCCCCTACATATTTACATGCATGTTTTTTGGGTGGCTGTAAAAGGGGGATTCAATTGTACCCATGATGTTTATAGTGGTTCCTTTTTTATTGAAAAAAAACAATACATCTAAGGCCATGGTTCTCCTATGCTATGTTATTGTTGTAGAAAAAGTGATTTTTTCCTTAAAAAGTTATAGTATGTAGATCATAAAAAAGGGTCCTAGTAGGGTGTGGAAATTTATTAAGGGAAAACCATAAGAAGATGGTTTTTTTTTTCATCACATGAAAAAAAAAAAACAAAAACTTTCTTTTCACACACTAGCATTTGCCTATTTTTATTTCACTAAGAAGACGGAAAAACGTTAGCCTAAAAAATTTTGTGCAAATCAAATTCCACATATTATATGCATTATGAGTAGGTAAATATGAAAGTTAGCGTTATATAATCAAAATTTAACTTTTATGGCCTGCACCAAATTAAAATTAAGGCAAATATCTGCTTTATGATAGTATGGATAAAATAGATGACCATGACAGCAGCAACCAAAATGACAATGTCAGCATATATGTCTGAAAACCTCACAACTGACCATGCTTGTGTCCCAACTCTTCATGTATATATACTCTGTCCTAAGTCTCTTGGTGGGAGCAGACCCGGATTCCATGGCTTGACTATTCAAATACCCATTAATCCCCACACATTAACCTAACCATTCAAATATCTCAAAGGAAAAATAAAAAATAAAAAGATATATACGGTGCATAATTCCAGACCTTCACCCAATCTCCCGGAAACATTGCAGGGCTGATCAGTGATGATGCAATGAGAGCGCTCTTATTGGATCTTCAGTCTCTCTGAAACCTAGTTCTGAAGCTCCTTCAGAAACAACCACACAAGTGTAATATGGGATATTCTTGTGGCCTTGTTTATTACAAGTGTTCCTTGATTCAAAGCAGAATAGCCATTGGTTGGGAGTTGGGTCTTCCAAAACTGAGACACACATGGGCGTGTTGACACAACATCGCAGGCCCAGAATAGGCAAACCAACAACTAGTTCAACCCAAGCCAAAGGTGGCCAAGACAAAGCTCGGAAGCAAAATTCTGAATGTTCTTGTCTTTCCTTGTCGTTTGAGAGAAAGAGACTGATTTTCTTAGCTTTTCAAGTATGACTGACCAAATCCCAATCAAAAATAGAAAATGAATTAATGTTCCCTCCTTCTGATGAGCTGATAGGGGGAAGGATGATATCCACTTTCTAGGTTGGAATCACCACAATGCAACCTCTTTTCTTTCAACCTTCTTGTCATTTCTTCGTAATTCAGGTTCTCTCTCTCTCTCTCTCTATTGTTCTTGGTGAAGAACAGTCACGTAATGTAGTCTTCTCATGCCTAAAATGATTTTCTCAGTATTCATAGCTGCATCAATACAGGTGTAGAAGACGTAGGAGAGAGAATTAATTCTCCAGTTTTGCTTATTTTCCCATGTAAATTATTCTTCCTCATTTCTATTTTCCTATATTGTATTTGAGAATTTTCAGGGTTCCTCAAGTTAGAGACTTCAATTCATATAGACGATCAGTTATGGAACGAGTGGGGCTTCCCAATGGCTTTGACTTTAACTTTGGCCGGAGATTCCTTCTAATGGCTTCCTCTCCTGAGACTGCTACGTCGCCAGAAACATCTTCTTCATCATCATCACCAACAACTCCGTCACCATCGTCATCACCACCAGCACCTCCGAAATCATCAGCACAATCGCCATCATCATCAACCCAAAAACCTCAACCCCCCTCTACAACTGAATCACCACCTTCTCCTTCCTCAAACAAGAATAGAAGTCCACCTTCACCATCATCATCCAGCGACGCTCCTCCACCGCCACCGCCACCACGACAGCAGTCCTCATCAACACCATCTTCTTCTTCTTCTTCTTCCGGGGCATTGTCACCTCCAAGTACGCCGAAACAAAAGACCCCATCGTCGTCGGGTTCACGTTCACCAACACATTCTGAAAGCTCGTCTCACAATTCGTCATCCGCACCCCTTCTAGTAGGACTCGCAGTGACAGCGATGGCGTTATTACTCATTATGATTGTCGTCTGTGTATGCTTATCCAATAAGAGAAAAAGAAGGCCGCAGAATCAGCTTCCATACTACACTGATCCTCCTTTTGGACACAAAGGTACTGATTAGCTTTAATCCCAGTTTCTAGTTTAATCTCAATATAGTTGCAGATATAAACCAGCAACATTGATCTGGACAATATTTGAATTCTGACGTTCATTTTGTTGTTGTTGGCATGTGCACCGTGCACGGCCTGCAGGCAACGCATACTACAATGGCACGCCGCTTCAAAATTGGCAGTATAACAGCCCCCTACGAGGGGATCACATTGTGAAGATTCCCCCACCTCCGGGCTTTATGGGGTCACCGGCGGCTGCAGGGTGGCATGCAGCACCGCCTCCACCTCCACCAGCGACGAGCAGTGGTGACTTGAGCTCCACTTCCTCAGGTCCACACAATCCTCCGTTGCCGCCTCCTTCTCCATGCGTCGCTCTTGGATTCATCAACCAGAGTACCTTCTCCTATGAAGAACTAGCAGCGGCAACCGGTGGATTCTCTGAGAAAAACTTGTTGGGTCAAGGTGGGTTTGGTCATGTACATAAGGGAGTGTTGCCAAATGGAAAGGAGATAGCAGTAAAGAGCCTAAAGTCGGGTAGCGGGCAAGGAGAGAGAGAGTTCCAAGCAGAGGTGGAAATCATCAGCCGTGTTCATCACCGTCACCTTGTTTCACTTGTTGGCTACTGTATGGGTGGGGGGCATCGGATTTTGGTCTACCAATTTGTTCCCAACGGAACACTAGAATACCACCTTCATGGTAAGCTATATTCTACCTTATAGTTGCTAATTGAGAACCCATAATCAGGTTTTAAAAACCGATCCGAAAATGGAATCCTTTTGGCCACAGCGCCTATAGGTTTTTGAACCAGCGGTTCAACCGTCTAGTCCAAATGGATCGGGATCGGCTTATAATGTTTTGAAAAATAAAAAATAATGAAATAATCCAAAAACCGTTCATTGGGTTTAGCAATTTAGCGGTTTAACCATCTGGGTCAGTCGTTCATTAACCAAATCAATGATTTTTTTTTGGGAAATTTCTGGGTCAAACATAAAATGGAATCAGACAACTAACCAATTCCCAGGTTGAACGGTCCAACCATCCAGTCCGGTCCGATTTTCAAAACAGTGCTTGAGAGGACACACATGAACACCATTAATTGTCACTGGAAGCAAGGTGCAGGTAGCTCAATGTTGGGTGAAGGGTCATGACTTATCATTTCAAGGAGGGCCTGAAGATATTTCAATTGTCCACGGTCATCATCCTATTAATAGATTGTTCATTTGACCAATCGTGACACTTTTTCTTATACTAAGTAGTAATGCACCAAATCCGTCTGCTGGCATTAGTCCATGGTCCAGTCACAAAGTTCTTTTGCACCAAAGATTTGACCATATATCTCATCTTTCAGCTTTTAGGCTCTGTTTGTTTGCAATTAATGCAATGGTCTAATTCTCTAAATGCATAGAAGTACATTATTACTCAATACTTACTACTCCCATACTGTAAATGCGTGGGGGTGATATGATCTCCACTTTATATGAATGAAAAGGAGGCAAGAGGAAGGTTGTTTGTATGGGAATGATATTTGCACCGCCAGCCACGTGAGTGCAAATGAGACAAAAGTGTAGATTTTGCATCAGGTGGGGAGTGTAAATCATAGTTATAAACAAAGGGATGCAAATCTGAACCGGGTCCAAAATTAGTCTTGACTCTTGAGTTCACATTTGCACTGCAAACAAAAAATAATTAACCTCTGCTGCATCAACGACCACCATTAAATTTTGGTTTGCAGGAAAGGATCGTCCCACAATGGATTGGCCTACAAGGCTCCGGATTGCATTGGGATCAGCCAAAGGGCTTGCATACCTTCATGAAGATTGTACGTTCTCTCTCTCTCTCATATTTTCAGAACTTTTGCCATTAGTCCTCAAAGCAATCTCTCTCTCTCATATTTTCATTTAGCTTCTGATAATTACTTTCAGGCCACCCTCGCATCATTCATCGTGACATCAAAACTGCAAATATTCTGCTTGACAATAATTTTGAGGCCATGGTATTTAGATATTCCTGCATTCTTCTTTTAATAACTCTACATTATTCATATTGGCCTCTGTTCAATATCTGATCTATTTGCTGGATTGCAGGTGGCCGATTTTGGGTTGGCGAAACTCTCTTCTGACAAATACACTCACATCTCAACACGAGTCATGGGAACATTTGGGTGAACATATATCTAAATTCCTAGTTGCAGAGTAGACATCATGATATATATTCTGAAAGAGATTTTGTTGATTTGATATTCTTTGCTGAAAATACAGGTATTTGGCACCTGAATATGCATCAAGTGGCAAGCTAACTGAGAAATCTGATGTTTTCTCATTTGGTGTTATGCTATTAGAACTGATCACTGGACGACGCCCTGTGGATACCGCCAATTCATACATGGATGATAGCTTAGTAGATTGGGTTTGTAGCAATTTTCTATTACTGATGAGATGATTCTCTGCTTTCTTCTTTGCCTTAGATTTGCATAGCCTAAAATTTCAGAAGGGAAAGAAATTAAACTCTCCTACTATATATATATATGCCATGCTAGAACATGATAATGTACATGCATACAGATCAAAGGGTGCAGCATCATCAACTGTTAACAGACAAAATCAGTATCCTTTTGATCTCAATTTTGTTCACAAACAACACTAGTCTAGTTTCTTTGCCATGCATTAATATCTTTCGTTGATGGGTAAACAGGCAAGACCCATTTTGACACATGTACAATCGGATGGCAACTATGGAGAGTTGGTGGATCCTCGCCTTGAAAACAATTATAACCCTAGTGAGATGGCACGCATGGTAGCTTGTGCTACTGCAAGCATTCGTCATTCTGCAAGGAGGCGCCCAAAAATGAGTCAGGTACGATACCTATAGTAAATTTTGGGCATTCAACTAGGGATGTCAACGGCTGAATTCCACAAGGTTTTATAAATTTTAGACTCTACCCCATTTCCTATAGGGATGTCAACGGGTCAGACCCTCCACAAGTGGCCTAACCTGAACTTTGACCTAAAAGTACATAATTTTCAAACTTGACTTGACACCATTCACAGCATTTCGAATACTTTAAAAAAATCTTAAACTTTAAGATTATAGAATTAGAATTCAAAAAGTTACAATACATTGTATATATGCAGGGCCGATCCTATAGGGTTGGGTCAGCCAAAAACGAACTGACCTGGACCAGACTCGGGCCGAAGAATTAAAACATTAACCCGATCCTATAGGGTTGGGTCAAGTTGGATTTACCATTTAACCTGTCCCATTGACATCCCTACCTAAATCTCCCAATCTATATCTGCCCCAAAACACATAGTGGATTGGATTTTGAGAATTCAAACTCTTCCTACACATGAAAATGCAAGACAATCCCTAACTCTACCCTCTTAGCATTCAAGGATAGAGCAAATTGAGTTTAGATCCCACATCTAATTTTTTATTATTTCTTAATAAATATAAGCAATAAAATAAAACAATATGAACAAACCATAAATTAAATTCTAAATATTTTATTAGTATATTATCAAATAGCTTTCACATAAAATTCAAAATATTATTAAATTTAACACCTAGTACATAAAGTTTATATGCTTTCCAACAAATATGGGTTGGGGAGGATCAAGTTGAACCTAATATTATACCCTATGCATGCCCATACGGATTGTAGAATTGAAAAACCTGTCCCCGGGACAGATACCCATTGGATAGGATAAAAATTACCATCCCGACATTGCGCTTTTTCTACTTTAGAAAACACCATCAAGTCAAGTGAATGATACTGATACATTCTATCAAACAGATTGTGCGTGTTTTAGAAGGTGACGTCTCACTGGATGATTTGAATGAGGGGATAAAACCTAGCCAAAGCGCTATATTTGGCTCAAATGGCGGGGCTTCGGACTGAATCTATAATGGCACTGGCTAGCCAGGAACCGGGAAGTAGTAAGTATTGGGGTCATTTGTGATTATGGTCTCAACCCGTCCTCAAGCAATGACTCCCGAGACATGAGCCAGATTGAGAGCAAATGGAAGGCTCGAGTTAATGAAAATTTCTCCTTCCATATATCAGACTCAAAAATATGAGATCGAGTCTATCATTTGTATGTTTTCTTAGTAGGATTGCTAATCGGAATTGATACATTGTTGATTTGAGCTTTATTCGAATTGGTATGTAGTACTATATACATGTAACCATGGAGGAGCAGATGTAGCTTCTATTATCTCTTGCTTTATTTGGGTTATTTCCTGCATGAAGTTAGGCTCATGCATAGAGTTATTTGTAATGGTGTAATGCACCAGAGTGCAAAAGAGAATGCTAGAGGGAGGGTAAATTTTGCATCGTATTTGACTGTCTTATTTATTTGCTAGAAGTAAAATAATGCAGTTTTCACCTTACTCAAAAGAGAATGCTAGAGGGAGGGTTATTTGTTTAAGAGTGAGGTAAGTGAACCCCATTTTGTATGAGAAAATTGATGTAGGAGGAAGGTAGGGCAAATTTTGCATCGGTTTTTGGGATGTAAACCTATTTTACATTGACCGATTTTGAGTGGAAAACCTATTTCTATTTTTACTTTCAAAGAGAAATTTTATTCTCGTTTTGGGTTGTGTTTGGTAAGAGTACAAAAAGCGAATGCACTGATGGTACAAACACAAAAAATTGTCAAATAGAAAGATGGAAATCCAACTTAGTTTTGCATTCATAAATTTAAAGTATCTTTTTTAGTTGTGAGTGGTGCAAACATGAATTTCAAGGGTAGAGCCAACCTATTTTACATTGACCAACTTTTAGTGTAAAATAATTGACAAAAAAAAAACAAAATTATTTTCATTCTCAATGCAAAGATGTATTCATGTCAAACACTTGCAAAACTGAATTTAAAGTATCTTTTTTAGTTGTGAGTGATGCAAACATGAATTTCAAGGTTGGAGCCAACCTATTTTACATTGACCAACTTTTAGTGTAAAATAATTGACAAAAAAAAAACAAACAAAATTATTTTCATTCTCAATGCAAAGATGTATTCATGTCAAACTCTTGCAAAACTGAACTGGAGTGCAAATTCACTTCAGTTCAAAATTTGCACTCTTATCAAATGTAGTTTAGGCTCAGTTTGGAAGGAGTACAATACAAATATGTAGAGTATAAAACCTTATATTTTATATTATTTTGTATGTATTTGTACTGTACATATATTTGTACTTCTTTCGGACTGAGCCTTAGGTTGTGTTTGGTTGCAATGCAAATTTATTTGCATTGATACAAACTATGGTAATGCACAATGATCAAAGTATCAGTATCGAGTATTGTATCAGATAACTTGGATACGGATGAGCTTTGGAAACACATGGATACGAATGAAAGATATAGAAACACTTGGATACGCTAGTGAAATGCATACAAATCACATAAATACATTCATCATACTAAACCAAAGGCTGAATTATCTATAAATAAGATATAAACACATGAGAAATGCATACTTCAATAGGTTATATGAAGAGAAATATTACAATAAACAATACTATGACTCTAGAACATTCAAACATTGTACAATAATTATCACTCTTTCAATTTTATAATTATAATTTTCCATTTTTATTAATTTTTGGAAATATTTATTAATTTAGTATTTTATTTAAATAGCAACCATTTTTTAAATAATAAATATGTTTTCATTCTTAACATATAATGTTTTTATTTTACACATAATTGTAAAATAAAACAAGTAAACCATTTAGGGTAGATAAAATAAATTATATTTAATTTTCAGTTTTTATTAAATTTTTTGGGAAAAATGAATCTTAAATTATTCGTTTTGGTTTTTATAATTATAATTTTCTGTTTTCCATTAATTTTGTTGGGAAAATTTATTTATTTAGTATTTTATGTAATAACTCTATTTTTTCAAACAATAACTATGTTTTCAATTTTAACATATAATTATGTGTAAAATAAAATATATAAATCATTTAAGGTAGATGAAATATATTATTTTTATAATTTTTAGTTTTTATTAATTTTTTTGGAAAAATTAAATCTTAAATTATTTATTTTAATTTTTATAATACTATTTTTAACTTGTATTAAAGATAAAAAACAATCCAAAAGTACTCAATGTACAATTTTGTCAAAGTAGACACAGATACATCTCCATATTGATGTGTATCGGATTGTATCCACCGATACGATGCAGTACGACCCAACTCGTAGGATACCTAGCTAGTTGTAGAGTATCCTATATCCGTGAATAAATTTATATGTTAAATGAAGTAAAGCAAGACTTGAAGAAAAATAAAATAAAACACAAAACAAAATTAAACCAGGATTTGCATTTTTTTTTCATTTGCACTCCCATACATTTGTACTAGTGCAAATAAAATTGCATTGCAACCAAACAAAGCCTTAGGCACAGCTTGGAAAGAGTACAAATACAAACATGTAGAGTGCAAAACCTTGCATTTTGTATGTATGTGCAGCTATGCATTGTACATATTTGTATCTGTAACCCATCCCAAACTGAGCCTAAGTGCAAAAACAATTAAATAAACAAATTTGCTTTCATTTTTAGTATAGAAGTACTCTTATCAGATGCTTGCAAACCAAACTAGAGTGCAAATTTAACTCGGTTCTGCATTCTACTCTTACCAAATGCTGCGTCTTTTTTTTTTTTTCCGTTAAAACACCATTTCATCTTGAAACACAAGTGTTCATGTTTAAATCCTCTTTGGCAAGATCATTGTGTTATTCCATTAGTACCATGTCATTGCCACTTTAGCCAAATTGTTGAGACTTCGCCTTTTGGAGTAATAAATGTCAATTTGATGTCTCTTCAAATTGCCCTTAGCATAGGTTTCCATGGAAAACATTTTGAGATGTTATAACTCAAAACAACTTCCAACCTAACAAGTTTTTAACCATTGAACTCAAAATGCCTACATGGTGCTTAGGGGGGCAAAATTGCTACTTGAAACAACCACAGTACTAAACAATGCTTTAGGGGATGTTTGGTTTTGGTGCCGGTTTTTCGAAAAACGGTGTCACATCAATGACATGTAGGCATTCCCACTACAAAGTTATTTGGTTCATGCGTTTTTCATAAAAACAGGAAAAATAGGCAACACATCGTAAATCAAGATGCCCTTAATGCACAAATCGTCAAATTTGACGATTCAACGGTTAACTGATGTGGCGCTGATCCAACGTGCATGATGACATGTCGTGAGGGGAATCATATATTGCTTCACGGTGCACGGTGCACGGTGCAGTAAACCAAAAAAATACTAAAGTAGGGTTTCAATTGCAAAAACTCCTTCGCCTGTTATCATGTGTTGTTTGTCGATTCACCGTATGAACTTGTTGTCGATAAGAAACTTTGTTTTGCATGAACCTGTTCTTTGATACCTTATTATAGAAATTTTTCCCCTTTTACCCAAGCCCCTACACCTCCATTGCCAAAAAAATCAAGAATGTGCGAAGGGTGACCCAAGAGATGCCAACTAGAAAGAGAAAAATTTACTCAAATTACCACTCATTAAAATGTTAAAAAGTGTAACATATCATTGTAATATACACAACCTTCAGAGGATTATCCCATTTAGATTTCTTAGGCTACAAGATCAACCAAATAGAAAATTTTGAGTAATCAATCTGTTATCTATGAAGAAAAAACTACAAATTGAATAGTTATAGTCCTACCCCTGCTCAACACATCCAACGGTAATTACCTATGTTTCCTTTAGATGCTAAGCACTATGTTTCCAGACATGAAGTACCAAAATCTACCACCTTAACCCTCATCTAATCATTCAATAGTAAATGGTTGGGTTTCAAGTCTCTATGAATCACTCCTTGTGAGTGAAGGTATTGCATGCCTCGAGACATATCAAGAGCTAACCTTACAATTGTTTCAATTGAGAGGGAGTAAGGTTCCTTCTTGTTAAGATACATCCTAAGAGTTCCTTGAGACATGTACTCTATGATGATGCAATACATAGGAGGCCTTTTACAAGTTGCAATGAACCGCAAAAGAAGGGTTAGTCCTTTGTGATAAATCATAAAAAACACAAGAAATTGCAATTCATTACTTTCATGCAAATCATCATGAAGATGTATATGTTGCATAGACAGATCTAAGATGACTCTTTTTTCTTTTTCAAATCTTTATGGTGTTCAATATATAAAACCTAGTTGTACATAGACTATATTTGTATATTTGTATATATGCATACGTTAAGTAATAAATTATACTTTACCTTTTCAAAAAAATGTACAAACTTGACAAGATTCTTCTATTCATGGTTAAATTGTTAAACACAATAAATTTCCCAAAATATTTTAGAACTCCAACACTCATTCCTATAGGAAACTTCTAAATTCACTACTGAATACCTCATCTGTGGCTAGTTTCAAAGAAAGCTCCAAGCCATCTTTCACATAAACTTCATAATTCACTACTAAATGCTTTATCTAGATCCCAGACTTTACCTTGACACCCCAGATTTAGCTAGGACATCAGCTAGCTCATTTAATTGCTAACAATGGAATCCATCTGAACAAGCAATTCAAACTTTTTTCCTAATGAGCTTCTCTAACTATGAAAATGATTTTCTAAGGAGCCACTTTTTCTATACTCACTCATAAATTGACTACTCCATAATACCCCTCCATAAATATGTTTCTCCAATTATTCAATGCCCACAACTTTAAGCCTTGAACTACGTACAACCAATATTTCAGCCCTTAAAGATTTACCATGCCCTACTGGTCACAATAAACTAAGCAATATTCTACTTCCTTCATCCCTTATCATACCTCCTATAGATTCACCCGGGTTGAGTTGCACCCATCAAAATTCAATTTTAACCAACTAGCTTCCAGAGGGCTCCAATTCTCTATTTTTGGTT